AAACAGAGCCATAGCTATCCTTGCCACAATGCTCAGTTGTTATTTTTTGAAGAGCTGGTTTTTCCTTGCAGGTTACGAGAAAAGAGTATGTCAGTAGCTTCAGCTTTCAAAGCTTTGGTTGTGCTCTTTATGGTCTAGTTACGTAACCTGAGAACACTGTGTGCTGCCCTAGTGGCTGAAGCAGTCCTCTCTTTTGGACTCTGGCCCTTCAAATAACTTCTTTTGTCTTTGGACATTGGGTAAATTGGGATAGGCCTGAGGACTCACTCAAAGAAGAAACAAGTGGTGAATGTGTGATGATGATGTTTACTTTGAAGCTGCTGGCTGGGTTTTAAAACCACAGAAAGTCACTTGTCAGCACTCAAGTTGAAGCTGGGGATCACTTACTTCCCAGAGTTTCAACGAGAAAAATTGAAATCGGAGCCTTTGCAGCTGTGGAGACTCAGGTGATACATGTGGTCCCTGTAAATGTCAGAGGTTGGCTCTGAAGGGCCTGCTTGACATAAAAGTAACTTTACTTTTTAGTTCTTACTTATATTCTTTAAGGAGTAGTGGTACTTCATAAATCTCAGGAATAGTGCCAGCAAGTCAGAACAAATTTTGATTATTCCCAAGGGACACTTATAATAAACTATCTCAACCCATGCTCTGCACAGCTGTGATTCTGTATCTCCAATCCTGGTTCTACTGTGTAGTTCTCTAGCAGATGATTTAATGACCTGGAGTTCATGTTACTGAAATTATTATCCAGGAGGCTTATGAAAAATGTCAATAGCTCATAGGTCTCACTGATTAATACAGAGTTTGGTGTAATAGGTAGTGTTGTCAGAGTGGAACTTGGACTCTTTGCTAACTGTGACTAGCACAGTTTATTTTGGACTAGTTGAAAGAAATTGGAGGGAGACTAGTGTGTTTCAACACTCAAAGCTTAAGTTTTGATGGTCTATGTAATCTAGAAATTCATTTTTTAAGTGTGGTATACCCAACCACAAAGAGCTATGGAGGAGACTCAAGGAGACTTAAAGTCTAGCTTCAGGTGATGTTTGTACTTGCTGTCTGAATTTAGGCCAGCATTCAGGGAAGATACATGGTATTTTGGGGATGCATGCCGAACTCACTGAGAGAAAGGAAACTTAAGGCATTTATCTGTGTAGGTAGAATTTCTAGGAGTTACATCATTTGAACACTTGGAAAGTTCTGCCCTTGTGAATAAACACACAATGAGGAAAGTGTGTACAGTGTTTTATTTTCTGCTTTTTAGGATTTCTGCTGACAAATGGGGATTTAAGATTTTTTCCAGCTTGTATTTTTTTTCCCGCTAAAAATTCTGAATAAATTACTTTGGTTTTCAATACAAAGTGTCTCAAAGACATAGGTTTTAACCACCAGTTACCCCATCACTCTCTAATTACCTGGTTCTCTAATTAGGGACAAATGCTGATTTAGATGATATGACTGGGTAAGAGTGATTAAAGTGTCTTTTTGTTCCCCATTCTTACCCTCCTGAAAAATTAATAAT